CACATCCTTGCGCCCGCATCCCTGAACCGAACTCCGAGTCAAGTGGTCCCGGTGTCCACAATCACCAGTGCAGGGCAAAGGGAGAGGCGGGGAAAAGATCAGAGGGAGACCAGAGAAAGGGAACCAAAGGGGAGAAAGAAAAAAAAAAAGTAGCAAGGCTTTGCCCGTTTTCTTAAGTCAGAAGAGAGAGGGAAAAGAGGACGGGTAGGGACTTACCTTTAGGCTCCAGCGCGGCCGCCCTAGCAGCCTCCCCCAACGCGCGCGGGAATGGTCCGAAGACATTAAGAGAGGAGGAAGGGGATCCCTGAAGGAATTCACAGAAAAGTGTGTCACTTCAGGCGCCAGAGCCTTGCATAAGCGTGCGGGCGGGCTCTGGGCTCTGATTTCTCCCCCAACGAACCCAGGCGCTTGGCCTCGGCCCAGCGGGCGGCGGGTCCCTGAGAGGGACACAGCCGGGTCCGCGTCCACCAGGCACTCTAGGGGAGGACGAGACCTGAAGCTCCAAGCCGGGGACCCAGCCTGGTATCCAGTGAGAGCCCGTGCTGGAAGAAATGCCTGGCCAGACGCTTTCTCCCGAACAGGGGAGCTAATGCCCGAGGCGTTCTCTGGTGGCGAGGGCAGCTACGGTTCACTGCGGTGTCGGGCGGGCGCGGAGCTCAGGACCCATAGCGGCTGGTCTGCAGCCCGCGCCCCTGCCGCGCCCCCCGGCAGTCCGTCCAACCCTGTCCCCTGGCCCCTTTCGGCGAGCGCTCATTTGGAAAGGAAACAGTCACTGCGGATCCGCTTGGGACCCGGAGCATGACTGTGACGCCTCGTTGGAGGGTATCAACTTGCATTATTTTCTCTAGGACGTCTCCAACCTGTCTCTTGTTGAATGTCAGAGTAATGGGAAGTGCCAGTGACAAGACGGCATATTACTCCTGATTAAGTGCCGTGTCAACCTAATTAGCAGAGTAATTATAAGGTGCTAATGAATGATTCAAAGTTCTTTGAGTTACATTTTACTCCAAATTACCATTTTAAGAACCCTATGAATCTACGAGGCGGGCATCGCTTCCGTGACTAGGTCTGGAATATGTTCGAGTGGCCTTTAACGTCTCCAAAGGCTGGGCCGAAATCTGGGGTTTAGTTGCAGTTCTGGAGGTCGCTTTCTGGGCCACAGCTTTTATCTGTTGAGGACGAAGGGAGGGGTGTCAGGGAGGCAAATGACCTCCTGGGACAAGATTTTGCCTTACGGTTGGAACTGCTTCTGTGTGAGCCCTGGGTCCGGAAGGGGGTAGCTGGCCGACTCATCCTGCCTGCGTTTTCCTAGGGAAATCGGTGTATCTGACCCAGAAAAAAAAAACCACAGCACTATTTGGAGGGTGGGTTGAGCTGTTTCTCATCGTCTTCGTGCCATTTTTCCTAGGGCTGTTCCGAGAGAACAGCGGGCATTGAAGGGACGGAGGCGAGGAGATGCACAATCCGGGCAGCTCTCGCACTTCTCGGAAGGCGAGGGGAGTTTGGCGGAGGAGACGGGGTTGGTGAGCTGAGGCGGGGACTCGGGACGTGCTCAATCCCGGCAGGGACCGACGCTGGCCAGAGGGGTGCCGAGAGGCCCTAGGGAACGGGTGACTGGGCCCCCCGGTGGGGTCGGGCCACTCTAGGCTGGAACTCGGTTGGATCAAACGCCTCTGACGCGGGAACTGAGTGCTGGCCCGGGAGACCCTCCGGAGAGCTCGCGGGCTCGGCCTCGGCCTTCAGCCGCGGTTACCGAACCACAGACGGTGGATTTGCGGAGGTGACTTATCCGAGGCCGCAGGGCCCGGCGCTGCACAGCTTCGCAGCCTAAGCACCCCGCGCGTCTGTCACAGTTGACCGCTGTGGGGAGGACGGGAAAGGCTCTAGGGCTGCCCGAGACTGCAGGCGGACGCTACCTACTCTTCCCTCTTCAAATATCGATTAGGGTTCTTCCCATTCCAACATCATCATCCACCAACTTCCCGAATATGCTGCGTTTTCTCCTAGGCCTGAGGGGGTTCCAACTCGAACTCCCCTCGCTGCGTATTCAGGGTGGGAAGTGGGGAGGGGGATAAAACAAATTTAAAATCCAGAACTTACGGCACTGCACAAATCAATTATTCTCGACCTTGATAAATAATTCATTTAAGCCTGTTTTTGTTTTGTTCCGACGCCTAAAATGACTCAAGAGCTCAAAAGGCTGATCGCACAGCTTGTGTTAGGCGGTTCGACAGGGTTTTTTTTGTTTGGAATAATTCACAGCATTGGCAGGGGAGACGATGGAGATATGACCCTACGAAAAAATGAAATCTTAAAGGGAGAGAGAAAAGTCGAAGTGTTGGGGGCAGGGGAGTGCGTGTTTTGTGACAACTCTAAAGCGAAGCAAACAGGAACCCAGTAGGCCCCACTTTGTGAATGTCTCAGATCATATTTTCTTAAGAAAAGGTTAATATCACAGAAGAGTTCTCTGGGTGGGTGTTAGATCAGCTTCCAGTAGCAATAATGGTGAGGGGAAAACACGACCTTAACTTTTATCAAGGCTGCGATGTTAGTGGTGGCCTGAAGATTCACAAATGGACTTGAAGACCAAATTACAAACTTAATGAAAAAACTTTTTTCAGAGCTGGAGTTTTGTTTAACTTTTCTCAGTTCTTTTTTCCCCAGACACATTCCTCTCTTGCATTTTTTTTCCTGAAAATATATAATGTATACATCCAAGAAGTCATGCATATTCTGGCAAACATAATTCACTTTTCATTTTTAAAAAAATCACAATTCAGAAACACAACAGGGTGCAGATATATCATACTGCTAAACGAAAGAAAATGCCTTAACTGGATTTAATCTTAGATTTTCTCACTGGATTGAAAATACAAATAAATAGAGTCTCTAAACTGACATGAGTTTAAATATAATTAGTCACTTTCAGGCCCTCATTTCCTTAAGAGAAGGGGAAGAGAAAAAAATAAACTTTTTTAATATTTGGAAGATTTTGGAATTTTGGCCTAGAAAGCAGTTATTGCCAACTGTGGGTAACAGAGAACAAACTTTTCCTTCCCGGCTCTGAAGGACACATCACTGCCGATCAGCATCAAAGATGCTCCTTTCCCACCTCAGAGAATGATTCAAACACTTGAATATTTAGCAAATTTTGTTCCTAAACTCTCTATGATCCACTTTCACCATCTAGATTTAGTATTTGAGATTGTGTTTAAACTAGGGCATTCAGTTTTTTAAAAATGAAACTTAACTTTGAAGAAATTCACTCACACATTGTGATGAACGTGGAGCTGGTGTTTCTTCCTATCATATTTAATTTGAACGTTTTTAAGGGTCCACATGATGACAATGCCAAGTGAGGGGAATGAGGTGCAAAGACGCTTCCTTCCACTGGGCGGCGCCAAGAGCTCCGAACCGAGGGAGGAGCTATTGTTTCTTTCTATAAAAGATGCAAGATACACAAATGAGCTCTGCACCTTCTGAGGCTGTCTCCCTGACAATTGTGTGACCTCTCGCCATTTCAAAGCTACAGAAACGTCGGAAGTTTCCTTTTTTTTTTCAATTTATCAATATCTTTTCAACTATTTTAGAATTTGATACATATTTACTTAGAAAAAATAATACATTAAAGAGAAATATCCTGGCAGCTCTGCTGACCAAAAAGAAAACAGAGACAAAAATATGAACAAAACGGAACTGAGTCCCTTAAATAAATTGCAACTGGGAGAGTGGAGTTGGGAGCAGATGGAGAAAGATAAAATGAAAGAAAAAAAGAGGTAACTGAAAAGTATGTTAACAGGAACAAGTTAAAATGATAACCTGTGTAATTATTAATTGTTCTAGTGGAATGAAAGTTTTGAGGGGTAGTTCTGATATCGTAATACAATTTGCAAGAGCTATAAGCTTCACCAAATTATAAAGATGAGCAGTTTGGAAGGAAGTTGGCTCTCCTTGGAAGTTAGATGTGTGTTGTACAGAGGCAAACCACAGGA